CGGCTAGTTTTTTGTATTTTTTTAGTAGAGACGGGGTTTCACCGTGTTAGCCAGGATGGTCTCGATCTCCTGACCTCGTGATCCGCCCATCTCAGCCTCCCAAAGTGCTGGGATTACAGGCTTGAGCCACTGCGCCCGGCCTCTTCCTTCAAGTCTTAAAGCTTATTCTCCAAGAATCTCTAGTGAAATTATAGTTGAACCCGAACTTGTGGGAAGATGCCTCAACTATCACCTATATCAGCTAAGCTAGAACAAAGAACAAGTATTTCTTTTCTTTTCTTTATTTTTTATTTTTATTTTTATTTTTTTTTTTTGAGGCAGAGTTTGGCTCTAGTTGACCAGGCTGGAGTGCAATGGCATGATCTCGGCTCACTGCAACCTCCGCCTCTAGGGTTCAAGAGAGTCTCCTGCCTCAGCCTCCCAAGTAGCTGGGATTACAGGTATGCGCTACCACGCCCGGCAATTTTGTACTTTTAGTAGAGACGGGGTTTCTCCATGTTGGTCAGGCTGGTCTCGAACTCCTGACCTCAGGTCATCCACCCACCTTGGCCTCCCAAAGTGCTGGGATTACAGGTGTGAGCCACCACCCCTGGCCAGAACAAGTATTTTTTGAAGGGACCAAGATCCAGAAATGAAAGGCGAGGCTGGTCCCAATGGAGCAAGTCAACCGAGACCAACGTCCTCCAGTTCTCAGTTTCATGGGAGTTTAGCCTCATCTCTGCTAGATTTCCGATTGAAATGTAGATTTTTCTGGCCAGTTATAAGGCTTATTGCTATCCTCCTCCCTCACTGCATTAAATAGAATATGGATTTAGAGACATGGTTATATATAAAAGGAAGCTAAACTCCCAATAGAGGTTGATTTATCAAGAATGTGGTTGTTATTTTGGGTCATTTGGACCGATGCATTCTTACAAACACTCAGTAAAAGTCAACCAGAAGAGAGTCCTCTAGAGACTGTCCTTTCACTGTCTTTAACAGAAACATCCACTTCAGCCCGTCAGCCACCACATAGTCACGGGATCACTACCACATGCAGGAACTGGGGGTGCAGCAATTAACAGCTTAGAAATGGTCACTTCCTTTGAGAAGCCGACAGTCCCGCAGGGATGATGCACGTTGTCTGAGTGCTATGAGTGCTGTGAGGAATTGGTATGGAAGGAAATACAGGGAAACCCACCCAAAGCCAGGGGCTTTTATGAACAGAGAGAGGCAATGACCTCAAGGGCAAGATGGCTGCATTTTTTACCCTAGTGTATCTGCAGAATGTGACACGCTGTCATCAATCAACTGGGACACACAGCATCCTCCTCAGAGGGATGCTCCCCACGCCTTCCCTTCTTTTCTTCAGGGGTCACTCCAGTGCAGGGAGTGGGTTATATCAGGAATCGAGAGGAAGGGTCAGTGGGAACCTAGTAGCCTATACCCTGACTTGACTACTTCACACTTCCTGTTATTTTTCGCTATTAACATGGTTGTTCCCTGCTCTAGCATTCACAAAACTCACAATTTTAAAAGAAATATATTGTGAAATAGCTCTTCTTAATCAAACCTTGCCATCTACAATGTTTTATTTAACTTATATTTTCAGATCGGGGTGCGTGTGCAGGTTTGTTATAGAGGTAAACTTGCTTCACGGGGCTTTGCTGTACAGATTTTTTTATCACCCATGTATTAAGCTTAGTGCCCATTAATTGTTTTTCCTGATCCTCTCCCTCCTCTCACCCTCCATCTTCTGACAGACCCCAATATGTGTCGTTCCCTTCCATGTGTCCATGTGTTATTATTTAGCTCCCTCTTATAAGTGACAACATGAGGTATTTGATTTTCTGTTTCTGCATTAGTTGGCTAAGGATAATGGCTTCAGCTCCATCCATGTCCTGAAAAGGACATGATTTCGTTCTTTATTATGGCTACAGAGTATTCCATGGTGTACATGTACCACATTTTATTCACCCAGTCTGTCATTGATGGGCATTTAGGTTTGTTCCATGTCTTTGCTATTGACCATACACAAATTATTGAATTCCTGCTAGATGCAAGGCTGTCTTGAAACGTAAGAAACCTAAGAATGGAGCCTCCATCTGTTTCCTGTCTTGTGCACATCTCCCTCCAGTCATCCCAAAACACATTGTTCAGAAACAAACGGGGGCACCAGCTACGTAACCAAGTACACACTTACTGTTGTCCTCAGCAACACAGTGTCTGCTTCTTGCAAGGAACATGGGACACAATGTGCCCATACATGCCACGCTGGTCTCCAGTAAAACACCAAGGGGAGGATTCCAAATGAGAAGATGGATCCGGCAAGGCAGAGACTTTTCCGGCAGCCTTGAGTCCGATAGCCAAATATCTCCTGGGACAGAATCAACAAGATTCCAAATATTAGTTAAGCACAATAAGCAATAAACGAACAAATACTGATTTTAGTGATGGAAATGGAGGCGGAAGTGAAGGAGTTGAGGAGGGTGAGGAGAGGGCAGTGTGAGGGATGGACAGAGTGGAGAGGGAATCTCGACAAAGAAGTATAAGGCATGATTCCAGGAAGCAAGGAAGTCCCAGTCTAACTAGAACACCAGTTTCAATCCTTTGAGCACCTTGCTACCCTGTGCCAAGCACCGTGCCAGGTGTTTAGATGTGTCGTCTTATTTAAGTCTCCCAAGCATCCCTGTGTTTTCCACGAAGTGAGATAATTATCCTCATTTCATACATGGTGAGACTCAGCTTAGAGTGGAGGAATGGGATGACCTGCCCAAGGCCACACAGCTAGAACGTTCCACTGCTAAGATTCCAACCCAGGTCTGTCAGCCGGCTAGCCGACGGCAGTACCAAGAGATTCCCTTGGCTGGCATCAGCAGACACAGGAGAGGGAGAGAAAAGAACCAGGCCTTGAGATCTGAGTCAGGATTGGGTGAAAGTATTTGACCATAAGAGGATTAACAAGCAAAGGCTAAGTTACCCTTGGGAGTTTGGGGTAGAGTTGTGCCTTCCCACGTTCCTTCCTCATTCAGTAACAAACAATTTTATGTCAAGGGGAAAAACACCAGAGGGACTATTTGGTTTACTTCAACTCATTCTACTGAGCACTGATGCATCATGCGAGGATATTATTAGACCCCAGAGGATATATACGAGACAAGAGCCTCACCTCTAATAAATGTATACTCTAGACAGACGTCTTCCTTCCAAGGAAATGCTGAGATCGAATAGAAAACGGCCCCTGAAGTTTATGATCTTAGTCCCACAGCTTTATCCCACAAAGTCATGGGTATACTTTATACTGGTTATGATGGCTAAAATTGAGAGGTCGTAGAGTGTCCTGGTTAAAAGCACATTCTCTGGACCAAGACTCTTTGGGTTCAGAGACTAGCTCTGCCACTTACTGGGCGTGTGATTTTTCGGTACATTGTCTAACCTCTTTATCCCTGTTTGTCTTCCATAAAATGGGATAGTAATACTACCCACGTGACAGGGTTGTTGTCCTATGTAAGCGTTTACTACGGCTGTTGCTGCTATTGCTTGATCACGTGTCCCTGAAATAGACCTGAAATTCTATCCCTCAGTTTATTGGCAGTTAGGTACACGAATTCCTAGTGTCAATAGTTATGCTCTTGCTAGAATTGTCTCTTAGGATAACAAGGGAACTGGAACATAAAACTTCTATCAACTTCTCTATCTCACCTGATAAAGATTACATTGCCAGGAAAGGTTCTGTGATGCTTGGCTGAAGGTTGCTTCTGTGTGTAAACATGAGGTTCCTTTCTATTATTAGCAACACATACAGGTGCTGAATGGCTTTCTTAGGCATTGTCCAAATTTGGCATAACCGATAAAATGTTCTCATTAACTCAGAAATGATCTCTTAACTAATTTTGCAAAGTAGAATGTAGATTCCGACATGAATACTCTTCTGCTCCAAGCTCAAGCTATTGCTGTCCAGATGCCAAGCCTGGAATGGCTCTGTCCCCTCATCACACTGGCAGCAATGTTCTCTTAGTCCCACGCAGAGCAGTGTCCCAGTCTTAATTTCCTTACTTGCCCTGGGTCCAGCTACTGTTCTTTCCCGTATGCTTTTTCTGTTTCAACACTTTGGCATAGATCAACTTCTACCTTCCGACCCAGCCATTTTTTCATCTTTTTAAAAATACTATATTTAAAAGTTTCCTTATATTGCCAGTCAGTTGAGCCCCCATGTAATATGCCTGAGTTACTCTGTTCTACAGCAAAAACCTCTGTTACCATGCTTTCTTTTATGGGCTATGCAGTGAGGGCTGTCTGTAGTTTCCAGAGTGTCTTTGTGATTACTGTCAAGATAACGTAAACAGAAATTATCATCTTAATTCTCCATTAAGAAAACCAAAGTTCAAAGTTACTATAATATCCTTAATAGCAATAATAGTGATTATTAACAACTAATTATTGATAACAGTGCTAGCAGCTAACATTTATTGGGCACTTAATAGCCTTTCACTAAGCATATGATACATACTCTCCCATTTAGTTGAAAAATATTAAATTAGTTTCCCAAGCCACAAAGCTCATAACTAACTCAAAACTGGGCCTCCAGTCTAGACCTCTGCAGCACGTGGAAGATGATGTGGGCTGGCCGTTTCTACTCCTATGCTCTCCTTTATTCTTTTATTTCAGTTCAATTTAACAAATGTTTGTTACATGTCCACCAAATGGCAGGCATGTGCCACTGAATTGTACTAAGTTGAAGTGAATTGCATTGAAGGGACTATTAACAGATATTGGGTTTAAAATTGCAAAAATCAGCACAGTGCTGTTATTATCATCCCATAGCATTTCCCTTCCTACATTTATGGAGTACCTTCTATGTCCCTGGGTATGCTGGAGGGAACTGTCCTTGCTACCCTGCACTCCATCCACTCTTACCTCCCACAGAAAGGGATCAGTTAGAAAAAAAAAAAAAAAGACTATTGGGAAAACATCAAAAGAATATCACACAAATAGTCAAGTTTATGGCAGGCTATGTGCATTATGGATTGGCACATTGTCCCTTTCTTTATCCCTTCCCTACCCACACATTCTTCTTCCTCTGCCCATGGGCATCCAGGTCCTTTGCATCTCTCAGGGCTTAAACTTTGGTCCAAGTGTCCAGGCCTTGTCTCCTGCAGAGCTTCTATGCTCAAGGAGCCAAATTCTGCTCTTCGGAGCAATGTTTTAAACCATCTCAACTAATAGAACCTTCTCAGTATCTGTAGACCCTCTCCTCAAAGAAATACACACTTACACACAAACATCTTCATGGATATTTAGGGAGGATCCCATGGCCTAGAAAAGGTCCTGCTCTAGAGGTTTCATGAGACTGAATCAAGGCTTGTCTTCCAGAGTTTACCCTCCGTGCTTGAACTTAGGGCCTGACACCAAGTCAGCACTTAACGAATGTAGAAGTATGAAGACACAAGTGGGTGGAAATGCAGGTGAGGTGTCCGCTGGAACAGAACACTCCTGTCCCCAAAGAAGCGCCAGAGGGCAATGTCACCACCTACGGTCCTATTAGTCCTGAGAGTGGTTCTCAGCCTTCCAGTCCCAGAAACTACCAGCAGAACCGTCTCTCACAGGGACGATTCCATTTAAGCAGATCTCAGAGACTGGGATTAACGAGAGAGAGAGATGTATGCTGCTGTCATACTAACCAGACAAATACATGGGTTGGTATGAAGAGCGCATTCTCTCCCCAGTGACACCATCTCCACCGTCATGACTGACCTGCTAACAGAGCCATGCGCAAGCACAGTACTTAAAACAGGCTCTGGAGTCTTCTTTGACCATCTCCCACCCTGGCTGGCACATGTCTTTTTTAAACACATTAATTCTTTTAATCGAAGTACAGTCCAATCTTTTTGGCCTAGAAGTCAGTTTGTCTCTTTAAGAAAATGTTGCATTTCTCTACAGGCTTCGTTAAATATTTGAAAAGTTTTAAAGTTTCCATTTATAAAAGTTTACTTCCCTGAAGATAATCTCTTTTCCCTTATTTCTGAATTTGGGGTGTTAAGAGAATCCTTCACTGTTATTTCCAGGCCCTACACCCAATTGCTTTAAAGGAACGCATTTAAATGGATTTACCTCGCTGCTTGCCCAACCCCAACATCTATTAAAATTCCTGCCTCTGTACAGTTTCTTCTGTGCCACTCTTTAATACTAAAGGAAGTTTTTCTAAGTTTCTTCGAAGTTAATTTGACTACTAGATTCAGGTGAAAAATTCTCAACGTGAATGACCTAATCTAGAAATCTTAAACTGGAGGCCCAAAAGGAGTGACCTGCAGACTCGTTTCTTGTTTACTTGTTAAGAATTTCTAAAAATTTTAAATTGGTCTCCCAGTTATTTTTACATAAAAATTATGATTTCTACTTTTTTCTTAAAATAAATTAAAATGGTGACAATATTGTTCCCACATTCTTGCACTGCAATAATCAATTGGAAAGCAAAAAAAAGAAAAAAGAAAAAAAAACCAGGAAATAACCGAGATGCCATCCAGTGAGTGAGACGTACTGTGGTGTGTCCACACAATGAGATTTAATACAGCACTTCAAACAGTTGAGCTCCAGCAACACACATCAATATGGATGACTCTTAGTAATGGAATGGGAAGTGAAGAAAGTCAGTGCAAAGAATTGTAATAGCATTATAACCTTTTTATAAAGTTGAAAACAACTCGCATTTCAATTATTTGGGGGATATATCTAGTTAAAAGAAAACCATATAGGAAGGGAAGCAAGGGAATGATGAACACATGATTTAGTACAGTGGCTGCCTCTGCTGGGGAAAGGCGGAGGAATGACAGGCCACACTGTTACATGCAGACGATTGTCCAATCCTAGCTTTCGTTTGTGGTGATGGGTTCAGCACATTCTTGTAAAGAACTCATTAAGTAGCTAACCAAATTAATGCAGCACAACACGGGCAAATAACATGAGTACATCATGAACCAAAGATTATGGACAATCTAACTGTGAGCACCTCAAGTCTTAGGGGAAAAAAAAGAAAAAAGAACCAGCCAGAGCAAGTACCAGATGCCCCCTCTAAATGAGCAGGTGCCCTCTTATTGTCTGTGGTTCCTGCCTTGCTTTCTTTTATCCCCAACACTGAGGCTATATGTTAGGTTCCATCACACATCTCATGCCAGACCTGCTCATTGGAGCTGCAGCCTCACCCTGTAAGCTAGTGGTTCTCAACCAAGGGAGAGTTTGTCTCCCAGGGAACGTTGGCAATGTCTGGAGATATTTTTTGGTCACTCAATTCTCAATTGGGTGAGTTACTTCTGGCATCTGGTGGGCAGAGGCAGGAATGCTGCTAAGCACCCTACAATGCAGAGGACATTCCCCTACCTC